CCGTTGGTTGCTTTGGCAAGAATCCCACTGTACAATCGCTCCAATCGTACAATCCATGAAACTGGTACTGCCGACTTCCAGCTCACATTCACTGGTGGTGCCACCAACTTGTGTAGGTGACGGGACTGCATCGATTCCATGTATTCCTCGATCGGCTGCTGTATATCCTGAACTGTCAAGTCCGGGTTCGCACGAGCCCGCTTCGCAGCACTGCCACTCGCCATAACGATGCTATTATTATGTATTCAAAACCCTTGTTTGATTGCAAAACCCCCCGTACTAATGATAGGCACTGAAAGAATAAGCTCTGGATGTAGTGAGTTCATGCACTACTCGAATAATAAACCATAGAGGTTGCTCTATCACGGTGCCACATACATGCTCGCATCCTTCGCTGCGAAGAAAACCTGGGCCCAATGAACATCACGAAGTGGCTTCTGTCTGTCTGTCGAAGCTCCCCAGGAATCTCCCAAAGTAGCAGCCACAATACGATTATCTTTTGAGGTAGCACTAGCCTTTCAAATATTTCTTTTTACTATCTCTGGAAGTACCACTCTCGATCTTTCTGAATGAACAGTGCTATTTCCATATGTTTTGTCTTTGTGTCTATGACATTTGGCTTTATCCTGATATCTCCAAAGGTAACACTTCTAACTCTCTTCTTTCTTCGTCACAACTCACGGTAACAATACTTTGCAGCTCTGATCATGCACGACACTCACTCCGGACGGGACCTTGTTTTCTTGGCTTCTCGCGAGGCTGCTTGAATCATCGTGTCGAGTTCGGACATGTCCAGCTCATCAATACGGCCCTCCTCGGGCAATATCGTCTTGTTGTCGTCGTCCTCAGCAGCAGCAAAGGCGGTGTCCTCGTCCTGGCCAAAGCGAGTCCTGTTGTCGTCGTCGGATGATTCCTCCGTGTCGGCCTCCTCCTCCTCGGCCCGCTTTTGTTTTTTAATAGGAGGTCCTCCATGGTCACGACCACCATCCAGAAAAACATATTCACCTCCATGGCCACCAGCATGGGCAGCTCCTCCAAGCCTTGGTCGAGAAAGGACGGCACCCCGCACAAAAGCATGATGCATTTCTCAAAAGCTCACTGAAAAACTCCCTCAGGGTTTTATCCCTCCGATATCTTCCAGTTTATCTCTCCAAGAAGCATCCCTCCAAGTATCCCTCAGAAGCTGATTGTCTCCGATACCTTCTTATCTCTCCGAGCATCCCACACAGTATTGATACGAGTGTGTTTTATTGTTATCTCTCAAAGTATCCGTCGAAGTCCCAGGCAAGTACTTCCCGTCAGATTAGCTCTAGTACTATTAGTCTTGGGGATAATAATAATGAGGAAATCATATTGTCGTCCCTCCAAGTAGTATCCCTCCGAGCAGCTCTGATCTCTCAAAGTATCTCTCCAAGCACCCCTCGGAGTAGCTTTGAATATAAAAACGATCTCTCAAATCTCTCAAAGTAGCCCTCATGTCTTCTTAATAAAGAATCTCTAAAGGCACCCTCATCAATGTATATATGCACATGAATACATGTTTCCGTAACATATATATATATATGTTACACATTATTGTAATACTACTAGGAGGCCCAGGGTCTCCTCGCAGACTGGGTTACTCTGAGGGGTGCTTGGAGAGATACTTTGAGAGAGGCTTTGAGATACATAGGTATATACACAAACACATATTATACACATATAAATATATACATGTATATACACACACATGCACATTGGCTTTTAATATAACAAGCGATCTCTCAAAGTACCCCTCATGTCTTCTTAAAGCATCTCTCAAAGCACCCTCAAAGTATCCCTCACAGGCCCAGCATCCCTCCTCGGAGTAAGACCCCTCACAGTACCCCTCATGTCTTCTTAAAGCATCTCCACAGGCACCCTCAAAGTATCCCTCAAAGGCTCATTCAAAATGTCTCTCCAAGCATCCCTCGGAGTAGCTTTATTAAAAACGATCTCTCACAGTATCCCTGGAAAGATCTCTCAAAGTATTCTTATCTCTGCAACAAGTATAAAAATAAACAGCTTGCCGTCCAGATTCTTCGCCGCCGCGGGAGGTGGATAGGGTGGTGGCCTCGGGGGTTTTGTTGCCATGGTACTACCACTGCTACTGGTACTACTGCTATTATTGCTTCTGCTACTACTACTACTACTACTACTACAGCACTACTACTACTAACAGTAGTAGTACTATTTGTTTGCAGCCCGGATTCGAGGGCAGCAGCGGCTGCTTCTTCCCTTCGGGAAGAAGCTTCGGCTGCGACTTCGCCGTTTTTGGCCTTGGGTGGGGGACTAGAAGTAGTAGTAGGAGTAGTAGCAGTAGTAGTAGAAGTAGTAGTAATAGTAGTAGTAGTAGTAGTAGTAGTAGTAGTAGCAGTAGTAGTAGTAGTAGTACTAGTACTAGTAGTAATAGTTGCTAGTAGTAATGCTGCAACTACTACTACAACTACTACTAGTGCCATCCGGATTCAATTCCTCAGCCGCTTTCGCCGGCGGAGCCGCTTGCTGTTGTGTCCTGCTGCTGCTGGTACTATACCGCACCCACACTACTACTACTACTACTACTACTACTACTACTACGACGACGACTACTACTACTACTACCCAGCAAGCCGCCTCCACCATGGTGGCGGCGGTTGCTGTGGAGGCCGAGGGCGGCGAGGAGGAGGCACCACCACACCACGAGGCACTGCTGGCCTCCCACCACCAGGTAAAAAAACTTGGCTGCCAGAAGAAGTGCTGCCACCACCACCACCATATAAACATGGGCCAGCAGCAGCAGCGGCAGGAGGTGCTCGAGGAGGAGGTGCTGCTGCTGGTTGTTTTGCCCCGATGCCCGCCGACATAGAAGGATGCCCTTGCCGGGCATTGGCCTGCGACACTGCAAGCGGGTGTCGGGAGCACATACGTACCCCATTTAAGGCTTGTATAGCGGCGAGGAGTGCCTCCTGAGACTTGAAGGATAGGAATGCGGAACACATCTTATCCGGTCTGTATTGGCCGGTTCGCACCAGTTGCACTCGCACGCAGTCACGAAGCCCAAGCCGCTGCAGATTTTCAAAGATACTGGAGGACGTCGTCAAAAAGTCCAGGTTTCTTACATAGCATCGGAAACAGTCGAGGTTGGCCATGGAAGTGGCTACAAAGTCCTTTCTACTACTACTGTGCTGTTGGTGCTGCTTTTGCTGCTGCTGCTGTGTGCTGCTGTGTGGAACATTGTTTTTTCTGTGCTGTTGTTGTGCTGCCGCTCTGAAGCTGCTTGCTGCTGCAGTAGTGTGTTGTTGTGTGCCCCTACTTAAGCTGTCTGCTGTGGTGCTGCTTGCTGTGGACGGTGTTTGCTGCAGTGTGTTGTTGTTGTGTGTTGGCACTGTTGTTGCTGTTGTTGCTGGCTTCTTCTTCTTGCCCTAAGACAAAAGGCCTGAAGCCAGACCTGCCGGGACTGGCTGCTTCCTCCGAACTACCATCTTCCAGATCCATACCGTATCCCTCCAAGTAGCAACTTCCTTTATTTGTGCTTCTCTTTCAGACTACAAACTCTCAAAGCATCCCCCTGCTTCTTGTTCCATCGGACTATAATAAGAAGCTCTCAAAGCATCCCTCGGATTCTGTTTCTTTTTCTTCGGGCCTGAGACATCTCTCAAAGTATCCCTCATCAAAGTTTGTTTCCTTCCGGCTATAAGCTCTCAAGGCATCCCTCAGCTTCTGTCTCTTTCTTCGGGCCTGAAACAACTCTCAAAGTATCCCTCAAAGTCTGTCTGTTTCCTTCGGGCTAAAAGCTCTCAAGGTATTATCCCTCATTAACCCCTACTCTACAACTCCCGGCGCTTTGTTTTCTTCCTCCGGGCAGCAGCTGCTTTCGGATTTCCGGGGGGCCCTCACTTCTTACCCGGCTTCTTCATTTTGCCCTTCATCGCCTTCATCGCCTTCATCGCTTTCGTGGCCTTCATCGCCTTCATCGCTTTCATGGCCTTCGTCGCCTTCATCGCTTTCATGGCCTTCATCGTCTTCATCGCTTTCATGACCTCCTTCTTCGGCTCCTCCGAGCTTTTCTCCTCCTTCTTGTTGTTCTCCTCCTTCTCGTCGGTCACGGTGGTGGTCTTCGGCGCCAAAGCTGGATCCCACTCCCAAATCTCGGAGATGGCATCCGCTGTATCGACGATCTTTCTCAATCTGTATTGGCCCCACACCTTTGACCACTTTTTCACCCAAGTGGATGAAATCGTGTTGGACCTTTGCATGATGATGGCGGAAGAAAGTGGTGTCCTAGGAAGATGTCCTAGTGTGAGGCGATAACAGCAGCGGCAGTGTTGGCATTGTTTGTGGAGGGATACAAGAGGGCAGAGGGTTACTTAGAGGAGGGGACGTGCTGATGTTGTTGTCGTTATCTCTCCGAGCATCCCTCACAGTATTATTGATAAGCATCCCTCGCAGTATTGATAACGAGTTATCTCTCCGAGCATCCTTGGTAGTATTGATGATGCTACGGGTGTGTTTTGTTGTTATTATCTCTCAAAGTATCCCTCGTCGAAGTCCCAGCCAACAAAACTTCAACTCAAAAACATCGGAAACTAGGCACAGCAAACTTCCACCAAACTCCGGGTTCCCGGCACAACAAACTTCGACCAAACTTCGGGTTCCCGGCACAACAAACTTCGACCAAACTTCGGTTTCCCGGCACAAACAACCGACGGAAACTTCGATCAAACTTCTGTTTACACCCCAGATCACAACCCGAAACTTCGACGCAGTTTCGTCGAAAGTTCGGGTTGCTGGGCCCCCACAAAACTAACTATATAGTTTGATTTTTGCCTATAATAGTCAAAAATCAAACTATATAGTTAGTTTTTGCCGCAAGATATATATCTTCTTTTTTTGGACTATAGTTAGTTTTCGTAGGTTGCGAAAACAAGCCACAAAACTAACTATATAGTTACTTCTTATTTTTTCGTAGGTTGTGAAAATAATCTACGGCAAAAAATAGCCTAAGATAGTCTTAGGGGAACTCGCTCTTCGTACGACTCACCATTCCACTCGTATCGGGCCATGCATCCGAGATTGGCGGACGCACCCACATGCGGCAGCACCTCGTCTACCCCGAGCCAGAGTTCCGGATCCAGCACACGACGCAAGTCCTGCACGTCCAAATTCTGTCGACCGCTGACCAAGCCACCGTAGCTAGTCTGCACCTCGAAGGGCCCCAATTGTATCGGACGCAAACGTCCCTGCATCCCGTGCGCCGCTTCCACCGTGCTGGCCACGTGAAGCGCGGGCCGCAGGGCCTTGCCCTTCCGCCGACATCTGCACCCATCGCATATCGACACCACGTGATAGAAGCCGTGCCTGCAAATCTTCCAGCTCACAGAACCCTTGTCCGAATACTTGTAGCAGGAATCGCTGCATTGATGCTTGAGCAGAGCTGGAGCCAGACTGTGCAGGTCCTGGAGAAAATGCGCCTGCCACTCCCGAGCATCCTCCTCCGGCTTGGCGGCGTCACAAAGAAGTCCCCAGCAACGGTACTTGGGCGTTTGAGCCACGGCGAAACGGTTGATCGCGGTGCCGTAAACAGACTCCCGAGAAACCGCCACCTCCCGCTGCACGCAAGCCCTCTGCCAGTCTGCGTCCGAGGCAGTGTCCAGGAAAGCCTGCTGATCTTCAGTGCGATTGGGCAGCTCGCGCAACAGGTCCAGGTCAGAGCCTCCATCGTACTTGCTCAAACTGGAAGCCACCTCGCTGACGGGCAACGGCGAACCCAGGCGCGGGTCGCCCAGCATCCTCGGAGCAGCCTGGAATCATTCGTGAATACACAACGCCAGGACAGAATCAACCATCAGTGCATGAATCATGTCTACACTACCGCGTAAAAACGCAGCCACCGAAGCATGGCTGATGGACTCGAAACTGGCCACGGCCATGTGCATGAAAGTTCGGAGGCACTCCTGCAGATGAGCTCTGTGATTCCGAAGCCGTTCAGCCAAATCTTCCAATACCTCACCGCCAGGCATTCGATTCAACGCGCTCACCCACATACCCGAGCCCACGACCCCGCGCGACAGCCCTCCTCGCCACTCCGATCCCAGACCCTGCCTGAAGATGTCGACAGACCAGCCAAACCAGGATGTGTGGATGCAGAGAGCTTTGGCCTTGCGCCTCGATCTCACCCCGGAACCCCAGCACCGGACCAAGCATGCCCGCACCAGTCGATGCAGCGGCCGCCCCGTCCTGACACCATTCTCGCGCCGCTCCACGCGGACGCGACCTCCGACAATCCACCGTCTCCGGCCGCACGTTGAGCACGTGCTGGAAAAACAATCGCATCAGCAACTCGAACTGAAGAGTCTGACCCACCGGATCAGCAGCCAGGCGTCGCAGCATCTCACGATACGCAGGCAAATCCCGCTCCATCTCCGGAGTCACCTCTCCCAAATCCACCTCCTCGCCTTGAATCACCAACAGCAAGGGATGTTGCGTATCAGCAGGATTCGGCGTCACGAACATGAGAGGCGGCCCAAATGTCTCCATGTAAGCAACTCCTCCGCTCGATATAAAAAAAAACAAGCACAGAAAACACTCACCGCTCCCTCTCTCGTCACCTCTGCACATTCTCTCATGTCGTGCACGCGTGCCATCCGTACCCGGCCTTCGTGTCTGCACAGTCGCCTGTGACCGTCGGTGCCCACGACCGCGGCGGAAGCCAAGTGCATGGCTCGCAGCGCCTCCTTCACGTTTGCGGGCACGAGCGAATTCGACAGCAACTGCTCCACGCTGGCGCCGCCCACGGCCAAAGCAGCCCTGGCCAAATCGTCCGCCTTCAACTTGGAAAGACACTGGGCGTAGGCCATGCCGCCATTGTTCAAAAAATTGAAGGACGCGGCGTGCTGATCGCTCAGACGCGAAGCCGTTGCCATCATATGCAAAGCAGCCCAGTCCCCGCTGAAGCGATTCCTGACGGGGACGGTGTACTCGTCCTCGCCGACTACTCCAATTCTTCGCGAAGCAGCAGACAGGCAGCCCATTCCCGAGTGGATAAAGCGGTGGCCCGATCGAAAAGATTTCCAGCATCGCCATAACGCCACAATCGCGGTTTGGCCATCGTCCATATCTTCCAGTCCCACAGACTCAACGGCTTCTTTCCGCGACCAACCATCAGGTGCGCGGCGCTGTCGGGCGCCTCCCGCTCTCGCCGCTCCTCGGCCAACTGCCAGCGAGCTCTGCCCTGGGACGCGTGCGACAATTCCCTCTCCAGATGCCGCTGCATGTCGCTTCTGGACAGAGTCTTACAGTTTGCGTGAATTTCTTCGCAAAGCTTCAGAATGCGAGCGCGTCCCAAGTGATCCAATCCCGTCTCCTGCCAGTCTACCCAACCTTCCATCTCCAAAGCGATGGCCCTGTTACCGGCATGCTGCAACTCTTCCAGCTTCGTCAGCAACGTCGTCACCAGACGCGCAACATTGTTCTTGCCGCCGTTGAAGTCTTCCACCTCCGGCTCCATGGCCAAAACACCCTGCTCTTCGACGGCGCGCTGCAGCTCCTGATCCTCCCGCGCCTCCTGCTGCAGAACCGTGGCATCCGCAGGCCACCACACCAGCGGAACCTTCCACCGGCACAGTAACGACGCAATCCAGAACCGCCTCCGGCACGCGAGTCTCTAGCGACTCTCCGAGCCACTGCGTCAGCAACCCTCGATTGATTTCCTGCACCCCCTCTTTGTAAACGGGATTACTCTCCTGGAGCAGCTCCACTTGCTTGCGAAAAAGCGCGGCATCCAGTTCCACAGCTTTCACGCGCCGCACGGCTTCCACTCCTCGCTCTTGGGACACGTCCGCCGAAGTCGCATCCACGCAGAAAGTAACCGCCAGAGCGTCGTTGAGCCGAGCCGGGGGCAACGATTCCACTGCATACTTGACGTCGCCGTTGTGGAAGCACACCGTGGAGCCGATGAAGCTCGACTGGTGAAAGGCGTGCATCCAAGGCGAAAGGTCCGCTTTGTCCACTGCGCCGCCGGATCGAAGCACGACCTGCGTAACTTCAACCGCCGCCGCGTCAACCCACAGCGAGTCGTCCACGACGCGGCCCCCAACAAGATCTTGCACATTCCCCGCGCTGCGATCGCTCTCGACACGATACCTATCCTTAGAGATGCCCAGCCCCGTCCTTGGTAGCAACGGTTCTCGCCAGCGCCAAACACAGCTCGTGAGCCAGGTTGGCCCTCCACAGCTGCGGCTCCGGTCGGCCCAACCACAGGTCATTCGCCAACGCATACTTGCACAGCCAAGGCTTCTTTCCTTAACCCTTTGCGCCGAACCAGAACCACAGGGTTTAGATCAACAAGGCTTATATGAAAGGAACCCAAAATCTCATTTTTGTATGTGGTTGGCTTTATTTGTGTTTAAAAGTGTTTTTTTTTTGTATTTAAAAGTATTGTTTTGTATTTAAAAGTTTGTTAAATAGGTTTTTTTGTGTTTTACAGTTGTTAAAATTCTTTTATTTTATTTTTGGTGTAAAAAAATACATGTTTGTGAATTTTGTTTCTGAGTGAGTCAATTGGCTTCCTGTTGTTCTACCTGGTTTCCTGCTGCTGTATGTCTACAAAATTGTTGTTTATTTGTTGTTGAAGTTAATAATTTTTAATATTTAATCTTTTTAAATAGTTTTGGGTTGTGATTGAACAAAGAAGGGAGGCCGTAGTGACATGTTGACTTGCCTTGAGATCTTGCCCTTACCCACACGGATCGACTGCCCTTCTCGGTTCGTGGGCACCGTTGGCCGGGTGTCAGGTTATGAGGCGATTGTATCTAGACCGCCTTGGGGCCAACGTGCCAGGGCAGTGGCATATGACACCCGGACAAATGGGCTAAAGTGCCGGGTGGGGCGGTTGAGGGGTTGTTCGCAGCCGTGCTTACAGCCTTGAAGGGGAGGCCATCCATGCTTGTCGTCACGTTTTGTTAGGGAGCCTTGCGACTTGGATCGACAGAGGCAGAGTGCCACCTTACCCACACGGATCGACTGCCCATCTCGGTTCGTGGACACCGTTGGCCGGGTGTCAGGTGTTGTCGATGGTACCTGGACCGCCTTGGGGCCAACGTGCCAGGGCAGTGGCATATGACACCCGGGCACATGGGCTAAAGTGCCGGGTGGGGTGGTCCAGTGGTTGTGGCTTTTTTATTTTTCTCCCAACCAGGAGGGGAGGCCATCCATGCTTGTCACGTTAGTTAGGGAGCCTTGCGACTTGGATCGACAGAGGCAGAGTGCCAGTCGAGCCTCTCGAGGTTGCCTTACTTAAGTCCCTGCCCCATCGGGGTTGCTCCCCACACCGTTGGCCAGGTCTAAGTGTTCGGTTTGAATCCAAGCCTAGTGAACGCCTTCTCTTCCATTTCCTTCTCTCCCATCGGTCTTCATCGGCTTCCAGCCCATCGAGAAGTGGATGCCAACTGCTGGGATCTCAGCATCAGCTTGCTTCAGCTACTTCCATTATTATGGTACAGTCCTGGCACCGAGGCTCATGACGAGGATCCTGAGGACATGCTGCCATCGCAGAGGACAAGCTGCCTTGCATAGTCAGTGAGCGTGTCATGTATCGCAACTTGCCGCTGCAGCAGTTGTGCTCGCTGTTGCCCTGCGTAATCTACTATAGTCGTGTTACAGCTGCTCTGTCTCTAGTCTAAGTCGTAGTAGGCCCCCCTGCAAGCCGGCAGATGTCGTCGATGTCGTGGAGTGACAGTGAGTCTGTGGGCTCGGACTGGGTTCTGGTTGACGATGAGGGTGCAAGTACTGCGGGCTCGGTCGCGGACAGTGCTGACGACGATGATTATGTGATTCCGTTCGACGAGATGCTAGAGGAGTCCTTTTCGACATTGTGGATGTTTCTGGATTCTAAAGAGCGTGGGCAAGTCTTTCGAGCAGCCTTCCATATCAATGAACAGATCATGTTCGTACTGTTTCCGAGACTTTTGCGGGATTTTAGGCAAGGCAGAGTGCCAGGAATTTTATATTTCAATGTGACAGACGAATGGCTGTCGTCACTGAATCAATGATTTGTCGTGTTTGTACAGCCTCCGCGACAGTATCACGGATCTTGGGGAAGGCAGAGTGCCGGGTTTGCGTGTGTTTAGGGGATTTTGAATTCGACGATCTAGCCAGCAGAGCTAGACTGTCCGATTTGAGACCTCAGCGGTAGTGTGCGCAACTTGGATTCAAAACGGTTACCCAGCATGACATGCTGACTACACAGTGCCGGGTGGCAGTGATGTCCTCAGGACCCTGCTGTCTCCGAGGCTGGCTGCCTGCCTGCATAGTCTGTCAGTGAGTTGACTTGCACCATACATGATCGACATCTGCCGGCCAGAGAATCAAGCGATTCATGCATACTGATGTAACAGTAGTAACAAAATGTTACATATCATTGATTAATGTACTATATAGTGATGCATTAGTCACTGTTAATGTTTTAATCGTTGGACAATTGTGTGCTCGATGAAAGCAGTGATGCCGACGACCTGCTCTGTCTCTAGTCTAAGTCGTAGTAGGCCCCCCTGCAAGCCGGCAGATGTCGTCGATGTCGTGCAGTGACAGTGAGTCTCTGGACTCGGACTGGATTCTGGTTGCCGATGAGCGTGCAAGCACTGTGGCCTCGATCATGGACAGTGACTACGATGATTATGTGATTTATTTCGACGCGCTGCTAGAGGAGTCCTTTTCGACATTGTGGTTCTTTCTGAATTCTGAAGAGCGTGGGCATGTCTTGCAAGTAGACTGGCATATCAATGATATGATCCTGCACGTACTCTTTCCGAGATTTATGCAGGATTACAGTGAAGGCAGAGTGCCAGGAATTTTATATTACAATGACGTGCGAGACGAGGCTCTGTCGTCAATGATGAATCAGTGATTCATCGTGTTTGTACAGCCTCCGAGACCGCATTACGGATGTTGGGGAAGGCAGAGTGCCGGGTTTGCGTGTGCTTAGAGGATTTTGAATTCGACGATCTAGCCAGCAGAGCTAGACTGTCCGATTGGAGGCCTCAGCGGTAGTGTGCGCAACTTGGATTCCAAAAGGTTACCCAGCATGACATGCTGACTACACAGTGCCGGGTGGCAGTGACGTCCTCAGGACCCTGCTATCTCCGAGGCTGGCTGCCTGCCTGCCTGCCTGCATAGTCTGTCAGTGAGTTGCCTTGCACCATACATGATCGACATCTGCCGGCCAGGGAATCAAGTGATTCATTCATACTGATGTAACAGTAGTAACACAATGTCACATATCATTGATTATGTACTGTATAGTGATGCATTAGTCACTGTTAATGTTTTAATCGTTGGACAATTGTGTGCTCGATGAAAGCAGTGATGCCGACGACCGTTTCAAGGTGCTCAGGGAGTTCCGAGGCAGAGTGCCAGAGTTCTGCTGCTGACCATCAGAATCAGGCCAATCACATTGACCTTGGCAGTGATTACGGGAACGAAGCCGTGCAACAACTTCGGTGGAATTGTTTACACTGTGGCAGATCAGCTGCCGACTATACCACCGGGCTCCGAAAGATCCAAAGGGCTGCACAATTGGATCAACGAATCAAATTGGCAGTTGAGGCCATCTCAGATTTCGGAGATATGGATATGAAGTTGCACAAAGCATGGACCGGCCAGACAGATGTGCTGCCTGGGTCGATCCCGCCACCTCGGCCATGCCAGCATGATGTCGAGACGTGGCCCATGGATGATGTTTTGATTTAAGACCATCCCCAGTGGCAACTGTTTGTTGGCAGTATTGGTTGCCCGATCCGATATGACCAGCTCCGGGTCAAGCCTGACATTGTCATCTCTATGAATGCAGATGACAGACCTCGGAATTTTGAGCCATGGGACTGGTATCAGTATTTGGCGAATTGTGGACCGTTTGGCACTGCACATCGTCGGTATGGTGGCTGGGATCAAACACATGCCAATGACTTTGATGCTGAACAAAGAAGTCATGAGTTCAAGAGCATTTGGCGCCGCCTCATTTCAGATTTCAGAAAGATTATGATGTGCTGGCAGCGCTCAGCAGAGGAGTTCAGCCAGAGTCAAAGGCAGAGTGCCATCAAGGGCAAAATGATGGGCAAGGCCAATGGCGGCAGGGGCAAGGGCAGGACAATCAGCAAGGGCTACAGCGGCCCCTGTCAGGTTTCCAATCACATGCAAAGCCAGAAGGCATCGACGAAGGGCTCATTTGGCTATGGCTGCTCCTATGACAAGGGCGTCAGCAAGGGAAGTGACATGGGCAGCCTGTTCGGAAGAGCCGCTGAAGGAAGGCAGAGTGCCGATGGAAGGCAGAGTGCCTTGAAGGTGGCCGATGAGACATTCCCTGGTGAGCTCGGTAATGCTCTTGCTTTGTTGGAGGCGATGAAGCTTAAGGGAGGTGGTCGGAAGCGTGGAGGCAAGAAGAGGCCAATTCGTGTGCTTGTCCATTGCTACGGTGGCATTAACAGGACCTGTGCTGCTTATTGTGTCCTCTTCATGGCCTTTGCCTCGATGACCATGGAACAAGCCATTGTCAGGTGGATCAACCACCGAGCCTACTATGCTCCATTCCGGGATCGTGAGTACATGATTGCAGCACTGCTGGAAATGCAGGATGAGCTGCACACGTACAGTTGATCATCGACACTGAACCCGAAGTCCATGGTCAAACAGTTCTGCTCCAATGAATGATTCTGAGCCGTCGAAATTTGTGTCCCGACACTGGCCCAGCCAGAGAGTCCTGGACCCGACACTGGACTGCTGGCTGGAAGTGAAACACAGTCCTTACCTTGAAAAGGCTAATAGTTACATTCCCACTTTCAGCTGGCAGTCACAGCTTAATTCGTGCGTTTAAACCTGGCTGCCGGTGTTACTGACTGAGCTTAAAAAGAAAGTGAGATCATGCCCGTCTCGGTTGTGGAAACTGTCAGTTCCTTTGTCGGTTGTGCCGACATGGTGATCAGGGCCGCTGGGGCGATTGGATGAGTGAATCCAGCCGGCGACTCAGTGGGTGCAAATGTGACTTTAACAGTCAGTCTCCGGTGATTGTAATGAGTGCTCATTTTTGCCTACTTGTGCTGTTGCAGCAGTCTGGTTCAGGTAAGGCAGAGTGCCCTTGTCCCAATTGTGCAGTGGGCAAGTCATTATCCGCCATGGAAAACACAGGGGCAGGCCGCCACCGCACTCAGCTGCAAGAGTTTTCAAATTGGCAGCTGACCAACTCATTGAACAACGCTCAAGCCCAAAGAACAAGTCAGGTCGGGAAGGGAGCAGGAAAGCCAGGGCAGAC